ATTACATATTTCCATCACCTCACCTAACAGCACTTCCCTTTAGCCCTTCATTTACGGAGCATGTCACTCCGACATTAAACAATTCCAGCGGATTTCAGCGAAAATGAGACCTCCAATGACTGAATTATAAGGTTATACATTCTCAAGCTGAAGGCCAAAGAAAAGTCGATTTGAAACGAGATGAAGACAGAAATAAAAACCAAACCTTTCTTGAAAAAGTCTTACCGCTGGCGCTCATTCTTTTACGTCCAAACCTATCTCTCAGAGCTACCAACCCTCCATTTCTGCTAAGATTTCATATTTAGTTTCAAAGCCGATAGCATCTCACCATTGGAGCAGCTTTTATCCCGCAAGGTAGGAAACAACATGACAGAAGCCTAATTTCGAAGGATTCAAAAAACTTCTTCGAGTGAGGTGTCTTCAGAAGCAAAAATTCTCATCAAAATGACAAAATGTATGGGACTGGCCATCCTTACTGCCAGTTTTGAGTTTAAAGGATGAATATCCTGCGTTTAATGCAGTTTTTTTTTCAAGTGAGTTAAGGAAAACACCTGGGGACAGAAAGTTCTGGAAGCATTTGCTTGGAATTCTTCACATTCTTCCCAACACGGGGTTATAATCCAAACCATCATTCTAGATACTCCAAAAAAAAGTTCACAAATCAAGGTGTACTCATTAACTGGGGCGGTATCTTTCCGGTAAGACAAAGAGCACTCCGAACAAGACAATTTTGAAATGTTCAAATAAAAATCGTGTTTTTAGATATCTTTAACAAAAATATATTCACCTTAAAGAAACAAACCAGCAATGCACTATAACCTGAAGGGCTGGCTAAAAAAGCATAAGGACATTAGTTAGTTGCGAGGGATTGTGGGCAGGGAAGGGCATTTGGAGGACAGTCAATCAAGAGGAACTTCGTAGAAATTCTTTCCTCTGAAGTCTTCTACATAACTGAGTGAACAAGTCGTCCAGCAAAGGCCTCACCCCGGAGGGCCGTAAGAGAAAATGACGAAAAGGCCGATTCAAGCTATATCGGTTTATGAATCGCATAGTCGAGAGCAAATCGCGGATTTTAACGAAGATAAACAGGAAATAACAACAATAAAGCGTAAACAAACTGGTCACGACTACGGTAACCTAATCAGACGGCTATCTGATGGAAGTTAGACGTAGGATGGGCCGTCAGACGTTTTCCAAGGTGAAGCGCGCCCTCATCGGCCTGCACATGCGCCCCCGTGCTAATGAAATCGATAAGCATCCACGATGTGGTGGCGCAGAAAATGGCAAACTCGGCCGGCCGGATGGCTCCCGGTCCGGTTTTGCCCGGCTACGTTATTAATGGCTCTTTTTTTTACTCTGATCTTACTTGTATGACATCATTCATAGCACTTCGGATGCTTTTCATTTCTATTTCATCAGCCGACCGAAGCGGCGGTTTCTATTCGTTTAGTAGGTTAGCTGAACGTTTTTTTTTNTTTTTTTTTCATCGCCATTACATCAACAACAACTACCGAATTATTATTCGAAAACATTATCATCTCGTATAGTCGATATGAAAATCAGAATTGTTTCTTATAGTAATTACAGTAACATTCGTCCATGATCATCGTAAGCAAGCTAATCGTTGTGGAACCTATCCTTGTGATCTTTGTGATCGTTTTCTTTCAGTATTGATTGAATTCGACTGCTATGAGCTTATAGCTGAATGATTTCCAAGTATTAGGGCGTACAGGATCAATCATTGGCAAAAATCCTACCAAATCTACCAAGATAGTCAGCTCTACCCAGTAAGCATACCCAACCGTTCCATCGCCATTGAACCGAAAACCGTATCGACTTTTTGTTTACAAATGTAAACAAGTTGCAGATTATTTCCCAACTTCATGTCCATTAAGCAGATTTGATCGTCGTGAACCTGTTCAGTTAGGTTCTTTCTGAATTTTATGACGTGTGGGAACGACTACTCATGAGACGGACTTTAGCTTTTCTTTTCCGGAGTATCATCGTATAGAACTATTAGATGCTCGTGGGAGGCTATCCGGGAAGATCTTTCGGAACAGGCGTAGATATCGCTTCTCTTTTGAATGTTACTCCTCTCTTTTGAATGTGAATCCATGTCACTGAAATGCAATGAACCCCATCAGCAATAAGCGGACGTCCAATCGATTTCTTTAATAGAATTCAAGCTAAATTCGTACCATTCCATAATGTCATTTGACAACTATATAGTGCCCGTGGCAAAATGGGATCGAAAGGCCTAAACATACTGCCATTTTTCAAAAGCCATTTCCCAATGTCCATGGAAACAGCGATACGCCAAAGCAGATCGCGAGCCCAGCTGGCTGCATTCAGACTTTCCGTCGAAGGACGCCCTACGACTACGGGACGCACGAGTTGATGCGTTGCGGTCGATCAATATTCTAGTATTCTTTTCCTGGGATCACTTCAAGTTTTGACGAGCCACATCTTGTCGCGATTTCTCTTTCAATTGCACTGATTGCTCATGGTGTTATGGTTGCAGCTCTGTTCTTCGAGGGATTATTGCTTAATCAATCTGAAGCGTTTAGAGATTGTTTGTCGCTTGGTCGAACTATTCAGAGCTTTAAAAAGCCATATCCATCTGCTACTGTGCAGTCAGTGTAACAGCAAGTGAGAAGCCAGAAAGCATGTGGAACAGGGTGGATGGGGTGGCTTGTAGTGTGTCTAAGCACGAAATACGTAGACTTGTTATTTCAACCGCGTCGCACGAACTGGTGCGTCGCGCACCGCTCAAGACAACGGATTTCGTCCAATGATATGTTTGAATGTAGTTCCTTCAGCACCATGCGAAATCTTTAAAGATACGACCCGCGGCGAGTCAACTAGCTACAAATCGTTGGATTTAGGAGGTACCCCCACCATACACCCATAAATCGCCCCTGGAAAGGGGATAACCCCTACTAGCAAGCCAACTACGTGTCTTCCTGACCCGCTTCGTGGATCCATCGTCGCTTTTTCGGTAGAAGAGAATCGAATCCAACAAACGTAGATTTTCCGGATCGGTATCACTACTTAATATTATCCTCATCAACTTGCAAGTCGATAATTTGCTATCTAAGGCAGAAGAATGTATCAGTAAGAACAGTGCTCATTTTCATTCAAGATCCTTTTTATTGACAAATACATCAAAGGAGTAATAAAATCTTCAAAGTCGTTTGCCCGCTATCATATTTCCGACCCTACGCTTATCGCATACATGCCCTTGGAGATTTCATGTCTCCTTCGGCGCTACTGCATTGGAATTGTTTACCCAACTATTATCGAGGTCGGTCCTTGATAGTAACCAGAGTCAGGCCGCAGGTAGCTTCAGGTAGCTGCAGGACTTCGATAACGACCTCCAAGTTCTCCTCAGTCCGGACTACAGATTAACGAATTGCGGGTGCTTACTGTTCCCTTGTTTCCTCGAATGGTAAAGAATTCCGTACGTAATTGCGTCTGCCTTCATAAACACTTGATTTTACGTCAGTTTTTTAAGAATACTGTAGGCAAAAGCTGATCTACCAATTAGCGTGCCAGAGTTCCAGCCGTCAGATGCGATTTTCCCTTAGCCTCTCGTAAAGTGCATTCTGCTGATTACGTCTATCTAGATGATGTCATTCTAATGACGCTTTTCTCGAATGTAGCCGACATAACGAGACATTTAAAGCAGTCTTTTGATATGTTTCCTGACGAGTTAGTTTTGCGCACAAAGTCAAGAAAAGTCAAGAGTTCTATGCATATTCTCAACTCTCATAACCTGCAGGTCCAACTTTTTCCCATGGACAAATTCACAAAGCCTAAATTTGGATGTATCGATTCGACAAAAGGAACCCGCTGAAAGAGTATTAAATTGCTGAAGTCGACTTGAAAAAAAAAGCGGCAGCAATGTGGGACGGCATGCGTGGAATTTAGAGCATCCCATGCACTTTGTCATATGCCTATTCTATTTATGACGTTCTTTATCTGCTGTGGGAAAAGTCCCAGGGTTGCAGTGTTTACTGATAGTCCTCTTTGAGCATTAACATTAAATTGAAATAATTTTTGTAATTTTGTAATAAAAAAGATTCTATCAGACGATTGCGTTCCATATGCGTTCACAAATTGAGTGGCAGTTGCTATGTTTTTCTACTCAATTGAATGCGATCGGTCCTGATTAATGACTGCCTCTTCATCAGAGAAATATAACGGTCACGAATGTTGTGCCACGAAAAAGTGGCGCTCATTGTTCGCCGAGAAGACAATTCCCGTTAGATGGGCATCCGATTTGACGCTTGTCATATACAGTAGAAAAAAACCGTTCTCGTTAACTTATTTGTAGCCGTTGTCAAGCACATGAGCTGCTAGGTTCATTAGTGATTTTCTGGGTCGATGCCTTTCCGGTAGGGCAAAGATGGTACCATTTATCTCCCTGTTTTGTTTTTTGTAACAAGATTCATGAGACCCACACTGTTTTTCGAGGTTTTGACGCTGTCACTATTAATTTTATCAATTTTATATAATATTTATACTAATGTGATGAACAGTCAGTCATCTCTCCAAGATAAGAAGAAATATATTTAAAAAAAATGAAAAGGCCCCTCTAAATCCAACTTCTGAGGAAAAATTTAAGCACAACCTGAGGATATTCCTACAGGAACCACAAAGCGACGTAAATTAAAAAGCAGGAGTTGATCAATTCACCGAAACGTTTAATTTTACGCCACTTTTTTCCAGAACCAACATTTTCCATCATTGCAACTTCGTTTTATGAAACTATTTTTCAAAATGTGAGAATCACCTTCTCGCTAAATTTACTACTTACGTTACTTATCGATTCCTTGTCTGTAGCTTTGCTCGAATAGATTTTTCACATCCATTGAAGCTTTGTTGCTTAATTATTGTGCGCCAAACCCTCCCCCTCCTCTGTGCGGGAATGACATCATTTCAGGAATTGCATTTTCACGCTGAGCATTCCAGATGTCCTGAATATCACGTCTGCAGAAATGGACGAATGCAGTTCAGAAATAGGTTCCTCCTCCAATGGTGCTTCAGGGCATTCTCCTGGCACGTTAACGGAAGCATCGCCACAAAAAGGCCCTGCGACCGATGATGACTGCACCTCATTACAATCACTTTATGAAAAATATAGCACTCAACAGAAGGAAATAGAACGGTATGTTGATTGAAGATTTTGTTTAATTTGGCATTTTGATCACAAAAGTGGACGAATTTTCACGCTCTTTTTGCTTTGCTCTCAAATTTCCTACATGTATAGATTTGAAATTGGACAAATTCCTTGAGCCCAGTACTCTTTACTAACAGCAGGAAGAACTATCTCTTCATACGAATGCTTATCCAAACGTTTTTTCGTTTGAAGATTCCATTGCTTCCCACCGATGTAATTCGATCCTGATCATTCTAGAGGCACCCAAAGCTTATTGCTTCAATAAGCTGCAGCTGAAAGTAAAAAGCATAAGGGATTCAAAGAATTTTAAAACTTGCCTCCATTAACTAAACTTAGTCAAAGCGAACTTGAATCCCAAAGTCCTACATTTACTAAGCTTAGTTTGGATGCCTCTATTTCAGTATATGGTACTTGTATTACGTAGTAGACACGACAGTTACTGACTTAGCAGCTCATAGAACCTCAGTTTCGCTTCACTTCTATGGTACTTTCTTTTGGTTACTTCACCATCCTAGCTCAATACACACTTTAAGCTTGTTTATTGAAGTCATAGACTAATTATTACTATAACAATTTTGATTTTCTAGGTCCTGTAAAAAAAGAAAATTAATCGTTTTTTGAGCATTGATTACGTTCCTTATTCTTGTTTTTAGGTTAGAAGAACAAAATTCCGAATATCGTGAAAAGCTATTGAGAACAATACGTGAACGTGATTTGAATGAAGAACTTCTTCGTAATGTACGTGAAACGCAAAAGAAGGAGATGTCAGAATTTGAAAAACGTATACGTGATTATGAAATACAGTTGAAAGCAGTACAGGTATGAAAGACTTTTCAATATTTCTTTAACTTAATTCCAATTTTCATTTATAGAACTTTTTTTTCTGGAAAATTATCTAAAAGTAGCTGAAGCTAGCCTCTTAAGGTTCGTTTAGTTAGCTGCTTTGTGTGATCGAGAATACTTCTGCTTCTTGTCCTAAAGGTGAAGTGCACAAGTCCGGATCCTTTCGAATTTTTCGACCTTGATTTTACGAAAACACCTACTACTTCGCTTCTTTCGAATAATTCATTCTTCTCACATCGAAAAGAATTTATAGTGCGATGAAAGTTTTACAGTTTTTCCATTCGTTAGAAGTGCTCTTAACTTGTTGAGTTACAAAAGGCCTTGTATAATTAATGATCGAACTTTTTTAAGGAGCGAGCTGCTGCTCAGGAAGCTCACTACAATGTGACTATGAAGGATCTTTCGCAAAAGTACAATACTTCAGTAGCTCAAGTGAGTCTTACCGTTTTCTATTAATCGATGAGTTTGGCTATTTCTTCTATACATCTAAGGGAACTCTTGAACCCTTGAATCTGATTTTTTCCAGTTAACCAAGAAAGCAGATATCGCCGAAAAAGAAAAGAATGATGCAGTAATAAAGTATGCAACAAGGGAAGCAGAAATAATGAGGATACGAAATGAGATTCAGAAGAAAGAGCAAGAACTGGTCGAGTGTCATAAGGCGAAGGAAGAACTGCAACACAGTCAAGGCCAAGAAAACATTGAGCAATTGGTCAGCATAGTTTTTAATTGTTTTTGTCGACGTAGAAAATAGTTTTATCTTTTTCTTCTCTTTTGAGTCATCGATATTCCGTTTAGGAGAAATCAAATAATAATTTACGGGTTGAGCTAGAACAGGTCAAGCACGAAAAGTTCGATTTGGAAAATAAATTGAAAATGGCAGAGAAACGAGCAGAGGTAAACAATTTTCGAGTAACTCATTAAAGTTTTTATATTAACCAGATAACTAGGCCCGCATAGGCCTCACATTAAGTTAAACTAACCACCCGAGGTAGGTTTACCGCAAACGAAGTGGCCTCCCATGTCTCATGGCCGGATTCTTGATTCTATAGATCACTTATACAGTCACAATCAAAGGAAGTTCACTTCAGGCCTGCAATACCACTGCGACTGAACTGAAACAACAAAATGATGTGCTTAGGAAACAACTTATTCAGATGAAGGAGGAGAAAAGCCAATTTCAAGAAGAAAATCGTCAATTGTCTTTAAAGATACAGGTGAGTTCTGTCACAGTGGTACCTATGAATTGCAGCTAGGGGGCCGATAAAAGCTTCTAGACTTTCTCATTACTTTGGCCAAGTTTTCCTTACAACTACCACGGCTGATCGGCAGCTATCCATTTTTGGCCTCTTTGTCTCAGCGATCCGTGGAATATTATAAAGAACTGCAACTCAAGGTTGGACAGAGTCCTGTTATGGCTTTGCCCTTCGTAGTATGCGCACAGTCAGCTTATAGCTCATTCTGCCAATTAGAGCAGTACTGGAATATTATTATGAGAACATTTATCAAAATCTAACAGTTTTCTTTTTCTGCTAAGGGAGAGACAATAGTAAAATAATCTTTATAATCGTGAAAGACCTGAACTTTTAGATCCTAGAATCGCGTCGAATGCATGAATCAGAAGAGCTGAGCCGCTCTCAACAAGACTTAGAGCAGAAGCTAACCGAAGCTAACTCTCACTGTGCTCGCCTCACTGATGCAAATCGCGAAATGAACACGAAGCTCGAAGAAGTGACACGGTAAGTGAGCAGCCCACTGAAGTCTTTTGCACTTTTTTATTTAGGCTATTATCATTTCTTAATAACTGTAAATGCATCTGAGCACAAAATTTTGATTGCCAACATGGACTTTGAATCGTGCTCACTTTGAATCCAAAGTATTCAGTGAAAACCTTGACCTCATGAACAAATTGCAAGATCTCGAAGATAAACTGTCACTGGAGGAAGAGGCTCATGCGGCAGCATCGATCGAAATTACACGGTTACAGGACATTGAAAATCAGGTTCAAAGGTACGTAAATAAGTGCGTGGTTCTCTCAGTAGAGTAGCAACTATTGACAATTAATCCCTTTTGATCATTATGATTATGCACCTGTACCGAGCATAAGTTTCAGCAGCCGAAAACAGGCCCAACGAGCGAAAGAAGCCGAGGAACAAGCAGAAAAAGAACGAGAGGTTCCTACTTTGCCTAAGGGTTGTTTATATACATATTAGAGAACCCAGAAGTTTTAGGTTGCTGAAAATGAAGCTGAAGAATGTCGTCAACAAGCTGAAAGAATGCTGGCCATTACTGAGCAGCTCACAGAGCGAAATAGCCAACTAGCTGGAGAAGTAGCCGCTGAACGTGAAAAGGTAAATTCAAACTCTTCTTCACTACTTGCAGTGAAAACCCACGGTTGATCGGCAGCTCACCTATTCCTGGTGGTTTGTCTTTGCGATTCGTGGGAAACTAGAATGGAAAGCAGCTAAAGGTTGGACAGACTGTTT